GCTCTCACCTCCTATCTTCTCCTGTTTTCTCTGCCCGCCTTTCTCCCAGCATGCTGCCAACACCACCTCCACCACACAGCTGGATGAAGACCCTCCTGGAAGGCCCACCTCCTTCCCCTGGCTTGCACAAAGGACCAGCAGAAAAGAAAGGCAGAATGCCTGTCCTAAAGACTTCATAGTCTGTAGGCCTGCTCTTGGTTCAAAGACTGAAGGACGGTTTCAGAAAGAAGGCAATGCAGAGCTTGGGGAGTAACCTCTCATCTGATCCTGTACCTCTCCACATCACAGGTGCTACAGAGAGCTCAGATTCCTAGAGAATTAGCTTTGGCTGCAGCTCTCCACATCCCAGATTTCCCCTGGACCCTTTGTGTCGGGCACACACAGCCCCACATGCTTCCTAGAGCCTGTGTGTGTCTCCCGGAAGAAAGGGTTTGCTCTTAGACCTCTTCATTAGAACTTTTCTTTATCAGTGGAACCTCCTGACTGAGGCACAACTGAAGGTTCATTTGTGAACTCACCCACATGGAGAAATGGCAAAGGCAGTAGGATATTTGCTGGCATAATGGTCATATCGCCATTTACCATAAGTTGTCCTGGCCTTCTAGGAGGGATTGAGAGTGAGATTTCTGGTCTGTCTGTAAAAAAATTAACTCTGCAAGCATGGTAAGTGAGAGACTCTGCGTCTCTCTTGCTCTCTCCTTTGGACCTCTCTGAAGGTCTCTTCCCATACTCTTTCTGATGTTTGGCTCCTCTTATCTCCTCATGATTTTCTGATGACGTTTACTTGATGCTTGGTTCCCTTTCATTTTCATTCCAGTTCCCATGTGTTCTATCACTGACAAAGCCAAGCAGACATAAGGTGAACTCCTTCACAGCACCATTTTTTTTAAGCCCCCCATCTCAGAGATGCCAGAAGAGAGGGAGTCTGGAGTGGACAGAGCAGGCAGCAAAACTCCCGAAATGCACTGCTGTGGGTGAGGAAGGCAGGACCATTCACCTGGAGGAGACCAGACCAGAGGCAGGAAAGGATCTGAGAGCACAAGAGCTGCGGCATGGTGGCCAGCCCTGTTGGTCCAGGGAGATCCCTGGACCTCGATTATCTGAGAGTTGTATGAATGACAGAGCTGAGGGTATGTGCCCGCAGCCCTGTTATAGGGTCCCCCCAGCCATATCCTCCTGCCCTGCCATCTCCAGGAGCGGACACCAGCTTCCACGCTTCCCTTGAGTTGCACTTGGCCACAGACCTCCGAGGCACTGCAGGTAAGCAGAGGGGAAAAGAGGGGTGCCTACATTCTCCTGTTTGAGACCTGCTGCAAAAGCCTTTATTGAGGTGCCGTGACCCAAGCGCAAACACCAAGGCACTGAGCAGGTGGCTCTTGGTCTCGGCTGGAGTCTTCCAGCTCATATAAATGATAATATTTCAGCCTGGAAAGCAGTCTGGGCCACATCAGCTTTGCTGTAACCTAGCACAGTGCCTTGTGCACGCAAACCAGCATTAAATCTGGTCTTGTCAGGAGATCCAAATAAAATATACAGAGCAGCCAAGGGAACAGATGAAAATAATCCTTTATTCCTTGATAAGCACTGGCTCCAGCGGAGAAGATTTGCTTGCGCTAGGAAGATCAGGACATCCTTTTTGGGTGGCTGAAAATTTCCGGTTCTTTAGAAAGACATCCCTCATCTCCCCAGCAGCATAGCACCTGCAGTCATCTTCCAGCGTCTCTGACACAGAAGGCAGACAGAGACAGGAAGTGTACTGCTCCATGATTATGTACAAGCCTCATCTAGATTGCCTTAAGCAAGCTGGATTCTGTGCTCAATTAGGTACCAGGATAATTTGCTAAATCGCAATTAAGAGAGTGAAGGAAACAGAAAGATTGTCTGTGTTACTGTCTGTGTTACTGTCAGGGTTACAAGCCTCGCCTCACTTCCAGACCCCTAGTTGGGTTTTCTGCCCTCGGAACGTAAGAATAAGAACCAATTTTAACTGCAATCTGAGCACACCAGATGTGTGGGCCTAACTGTGGATGACAGACCAAAGGTTTCAGTTCTCTCTGCTAAGTTTTTCCATTGCTTTATTCACCCAGGCCCTCTTTGGGTCAGCACAAACCTCAGCGCCACGAGCAGTCACAAACCTGCAGCGAGAAGTGCAAGAGCTTGGTAAGAAAAGCCAGTGACAAGAAGAACCGTGAGTTCTTCCTCTTCCATGCACAACTTTCCCCTACTCCCTCGTAGACCTGTACGCAGCCCCAGCACAGACAGGGACTAGGAATGTCTCCTCTGGCAGGCAGTGCCCTCTGCATGCAGGGAAAACAGTACACTTCTGAGTCTTCCAAGACTGCTGGCATAAGTACCGCTGCGCAGAAAGGGCCAAAGTTTAATGTTTTCTTCTACTGCTGACTCCACAGAGCTACTCTCCTACCAGAGTCCCTCACAGCTAGACCCCGTCTTTCAGCACACTGAGGTATCTCTGTGACAACACGGGATGGGAGAAAGTTGCTCTAGTTCCCAACCATAATGCTCTGACTGAGGGAGGAGGCAAATCCAAGTAGTAAGAGCGCTGTGTACTTACACAACTGCTGGTAAGGCACAATACCCGGGAGTCTCATAGAAACGCCGCAGGTGATGAATTCGAATAGGTGCTTTCAAATATGCAAAGCAACAGCTCATAACCTGATCTGCAAAGAAAAATGAGAGAAGGAAATGAAGGAAATCACAAATGCTGTTAGTAGCACTGAGTGCACTGTACTATAAGACATCTACATCACACGTTACACAATATATGACACAGCACAGAGGCTGTGGAGTTTCTCAGCATCTCCACGCTCCCTTGTACTGCACTGGGAAAACATAAAAGCCCTGAACATCTGCCTGAGATCCTGCTCCAGGAGCGAGGACTCTCATACCAGAGAAAGCTCAGCACACCCATGGCAGGAATTTATTTCCCTTTACTGCAACAAGCACAGAAGTTGGAAAGGCTGATGAAGAGAACAGCCCTGACCCTGGCACCCTACAGCCCTTGTTGTGAGGGGTGCTGCAACTGCCAAACCACATAGTGAGGCCAGGCCACCAGGTCAAGGGCCAAGGATCTGGGGGTTTCCCATTTCAGGGCACAACCTGAACTGCATTTCAGGAAGCTCTCAAGAGCCAATCAGCCCACACGCACACCAAAGTGCAGCTCCCCACAAAGAGCCTCAACACATTCATCCTGTCAGGGGCCTGACACACTAATTAGCCTTCAAAGCCCTGACCAGCCTCACCTGGAGCCTCCAGGCACCCACCCAGCCCATGGGCCCAGAAGCCCATGCATGCACAGCCCTGGGCCTTCAGCCCCTACTTGAGCTATGTTGTAAGAATACTGCCTCCAGCTTGGTCATGCTTGTGCCTAGCTGTGGACCCCAAACCCTGGATTGACATGCCAGCTTGATATCAGCCCTGCCTCATCACTATGGACCTGCCTGACAATCACTGGACTGTTTCTGATCCTGGTTAGCTTGACCTATGGGCTGACTCTGACTTGTGGATTGACTTCCTGGCTTGACCTCAGACCTGTCTCATCACCACAAACTTGCCTGATGATCTGGACTCCTGTTTGAACTTGGCTACCATCTCTAGGCCTACTCTGCTCTAGTACTGTGGGATTGGGCTACTGAGCTCTTGGCTACTGAGGGCCCTGCTGTGCTGACCATGTTATTGTGTTCGGCTGATGGCTCCATAAACCTTAGGGAGCAACTGGCTTTTGCTGTGGCCTGACACATCCCCTGGGACATGGCTGCTAAAGTCTCCTTCTCCTGACTTCTGCAGCACTTCACAGCCTGTTCGGAATAGGTGAGGAGCTGGCCCTGCTCTGCCATGAGATGTCTACTCACTCTCAACACAGTGTTGGGAGGGGAGGAAGAACAGTAGCAGGAGGCCAAGCGTGGCGGTTGTGCAGGCACTCTTCTTTGGGTGCTGCATTGCTCTGCCTTCCTTAGGGTCTCAGAAGTTATCCTTTACGGCGTCCGGCAGAGTCCTGCCCTCAGCCAGCCTGTAACAAGAAACCTCCTTGAACAGCAGACTTGCAGTGAGGCAAGAATCCCCTGAACCAAAAGCCCAGAAAAACGCAGTTCATTAATTCACCGGACAGAAAGAGGAGTTGACAGGGTCCTGAGATGGACCAATCCAAGAGCCTAGGTCCTGGGACCCACCACTGAGACCCCTCGCAGAGCTGGCCCAGGTAAGCATAAGTGTGCAAAATGACTCTGTGAAGCCACGATCCCCCAAGTGGATCTTGAACAGAGCCCGGAGCTGGCTCACTGGATCCAGGGCAGGTTTTGGAGAGGAACACGGCCACAAGACAGAAAGCACTCTTTTCCACTGTATCAAGCTTACTGCATCAGCATCTCACGTGCTGCGTGCAGGTCTAGTCTCCGCATCTCGAAAAGGGTACCTCAGAATTAGGGGAGGTACAGAGGGGCCAGGGAGGGGAACAGCGGCATGCCCCCAAGCGGCGCCCGAGGGGAACAGAGGTCGCCCTTAACCCAGTGACCGCTGGGAGCTGGGACAAGCACGTGCTGCGTGCAGGTCTAGTCTCCGCATCTCGAAAAGGGTACCTCAGAATTAGGGGAGGTACAGAGGGGCCAGGGAGGGGAACAGCGGCATGCCCCCAAGCGGCGCCCGAGGGGAACAGAGGTCGCCCTTAACCCAGTGACCGCTGGGAGCTGGGACAACCGCTTCCCCCGACCCCCGCAGCGGAGCCAGGGCCAGCAGCACCACGGCCC